TCTATTTTTGGAGATAGCATCAAAATTGCATGACAGGAAAGGTTACTTCTTAAGTTGGATGTTGTTAAACAAATAATTTCAAATTAGAATAGAAAACAAGTCTTTTTGTTTAGAAAATTAGGAATGTTTCAGCTAAATGAATTATGCTATTGGCAAATTCAAGTCTTCAAATGGACCGGGAACAGAGAATAATAGAAAATGAGTGCAAGAAAAGCAATTGCAGGGCCTTCGTCTAATAACACAGCAACTATGAAATTTAAAAACTATAAATATTTGAACGTATCATTTTAACATAGATGTGTTATGGTGCGGTTGCAAAGAGTTTGTTCCATTTTGTTGAAGGCTTGAGTTTGAACTGCATTGCTTGCAAAAGAAGTTTTTGTTGAAGACTTTTAGGTTTCGGCCCTTTGATTTCATAAATTATTGATACTTTTTAGTGATTCTTTATTGATTATTTTTATCGAGAAGTTGGTAAACATGACTGGTGAGATTAATAATATTAAAAAAACACTCATGAAACTTGTTCATTATGTTGCCCACACAAAGATCAGAAGAAATTGAGTTTGTTTACTTTCACCCTAATTTGTTGCACAAATAATTGGTTGAATGCCTTGCCAAGTGGAACTATCTACACATAGGATGTGTTGAAAGAAAAGTTCTTGAATTGGTTCTATCCATTTAGCAAGTACATGGATAAAATTGACGATATAAAATTTCAAATGATGGGATGAATCTCTATGAAGCATGAGAAATGTTCAAATTGATGTTGAAAAGATGTACATCACATGATTTAGACAACGTGACACAAAGACAATACTTTACACGTTGTTGAAGAAGTAACACTCGAGTGCTATGGATTCCTCGGATAGAGGAACTATAAGGAAAAAATCGAAAACGAGGTTGTAAAGGAATTCATATAGAACATGGCCCATAATGAATATTGTGCTCTAATTGATAGAGGTGCCAGAAGGAGAGGAGCATTAACTCATGATACTCAAAGTGAATTTTTAGCCAATAACAAGCAAATGAAAGCTCTTATTGACATTCTGACAAAATAAATTTCATATGTCACTAGAGAACCTTAATTAGTTCAATAGACTCAAACTCTCAAATGTGATCTTGTGGTTCTACACGACATATGGAGGGATATAGGCTCATCTTGGACAAGCAATGAGATATGACAAACCATCCTCAATAAGAAAATAAATACCTCTACTTAAAACATCATTAGTAAGACAAAAGAGATTAGGTGAAAAAGGATCGCCATGTGTGACTCTTTTCTTATAAGAAAAGAATCTCGCAACCTTACATTGACATATATAAACAGTCTTACATTGACATATAAGAAATGAATCTAATGCCAGAACTTAGGCTCAAAACTAAAATAGTAAAGGACTTCATGAAAAAATAATCCAGGCTAATGCATCAAAATCCTTATAAATATATCGTTAATTTCAAAGGATTTCTTAAATGATAAAATAATGGATTAAAAAATTAATCAAATGCATTCATAAATTTATCTCATTATCATTACATTTGATGATGATTCTTGAGTTAAGTTATAGAATCACGAGTTAACTTGCATACAGAATTATTTTTTTTCTTCTGAAATTTGATAAATCCGTGCATTTGAGGACGATTAAACAAGTCTACACAATATACTGGTTATTTCCTAATTCTGAATGGCATAAACAGTTAAACTAAACTTTCACCCTACATTATTTCAATATCTCTTTTCAGACAAAAACTTTCAATAGATCAATTAAATAATAATGTTAACAATAATGATTTACAGAAGGCCAAATGGATTCTGAACAAAGCTTCCCTGACTACTTCAGTGGTCGAATTTACGTGCAGTCATATATAGAAGTTTTGCATTACATAATTGACTCAACTTGCTTTTTAGTTTACTTGCAATGAACATTTTTCTGTTGTGTTGTGTGCATTAAGAAAGGGCTCCTTGCATTATAAATAATTCTAATGACTTAGTTGTTTCCAGTGAAGATTAGGGTGTGTGTTTATTTTATGTTCTCACATGAGGTGATAACAACCAAGATCGGTGTTATACTATATGAGTTTGAGCAAAATGGTTTATTGCATAATAAAGACAAGATGTAAAAAATAGAGGCAGAGTGCATGGGGACCATTTACATATGCAAGGATAGCAGAAAATATTCATTCTGTGCTGTCACTGTGAACATATATATCATCATCATCATTTGAGAGGTGTAAACAATTAGGAACTGGAAACCATGCATGGTGAAGAATGTCACCCTTAGGTGTCCCTCCTCCATCCCTATAAATAACCATACCGCAGGTTCTTGGCTTCATCAATCTCGTTAGTAATCACAATGGCCAAACACTTTCTATTTTCCTTCTGCTGGCTGCTCTTCACGACGGCGTGTTTAGCACATCACTCTGAATTAGACAGGTTCAACAAATGCCAGCTTGACAGTATCAATGCATTGGAACCAGATCACCGTGTTGAGTCAGAAGCTGGTCTCACTGAAACATGGAACCCCAATCACCCTGAGTTACAATGTGCTGGTGTATCTCTTATCCGACGCACCATTGATCCTAATGGCCTTCACTTGCCTTCCTATTCACCATCTCCACAGCTGATTTTCATCATCCAAGGTTATTATATAATCAAATATTCATTATTTGCATTCATTGAATTGTTTTTTAACTGGTTCATGTTTTTTCTTCTATATAGGGAAGGGAGTACTTGGCCTTGCAGTTCCTGGTTGTCCTGAAACTTACGAAGAACCACGCTCACAATCTAGACAGCAGCAACAACAACGTGACAGCCACCAGAAGATTCGGCGCTTCTCTAAAGGTGATGTCATTGCCATTCCACCTGGAATTCCTTACTGGACCTATAACTATGGTGATGAACCTCTTGTTGCCATTAGTCTTCTCGACACTTCCAACACTCTAAACCAACTCGATTCAACCCCCAGAGTAAGTAATTGTATAACTATACGTTACATTGTCCAAATTTTGATATACTTTTCTAACGTATAATATTTTCTTTTCAATTAATCACATGTAAGTATGTGTTTGCAGGTATTTTACCTTGGCGGAAACCTTCCAGAGGCAGAGTTCCCCGAAACACAGGAACAACATCCACAAAGGCACAGTTCCCCTATTGGACGTAGAGGTGGACAGCAACAACAAGAGGAGGAATCCGAGGAACAAAACAAAGGGAAGAGCGTGTTGAGTGGCTTCAGCGCAGAGTTTTTAGCACATTCACTCGACACCAAGGAGGAAACAGCCAAGAAACTTCAATCTCCACGGGACCAAAGGGGTCAAATCGTAAAAGTAGAGAAGGGTCTTCACATTATCAGTTCTGAGTTGCAAGAAGAAGAACAGCAAGAAGAGGAAGAGGAAGAAGAACGAGAACAAAGACACCACAAAGATAGTGAAAGAGAAGACGAGGATGAGGATGAGAAAGAAGAACAAGAACAAAGACAAACCAAACATAGCAAAAAAGAAGAGGAGGATGAGGATGAACCTCGCAGCCATGAGAGTCGAAAGTGGAAAAAACACACCAAAGAGAAGAAACGAGAATCACACGGACGAGGAGGAGAAAAACAAGAGCAAGAAAAGAAAGAGGAGGAAGAGGAAGAAATACAACGTCAACACAGCAAAGGAGGAAAGAATGGTTTGGAAGAAACTATTTGCAGTTCAAAGATTCGTGAAAACATCGCTCGCCCTTCACGTGCTGATCTCTACAACCCGCGTGTTGGTCGCATCAGCACTGTCAACAGTTTAACCCTCCCAATCCTCCGCAAATTACGCCTCAGTGCAGAATATGTTCTTCTCTACCGGGTATGCATAGTACTAATTATTTAACCAATGTATATATTTCCATAATATGATTAATTTTTATATTTCGATGTATGTATGTACATATAGAATGGTATATATGCTCCACACTGGAACAATAACGCAAACAGCCTCTTGTACGTGATTAGAGGACAAGGAAGAGTTAGAATAGTGAACAGTCAAGGAAATCCAGTGTTCGACAACAAGGTGAGAAAGGGACAATTGGTGGTGGTGCCACAAAATTTCGTGGTGGCCCAACAAGCCGGGAATGAAGAAGGACTTGAGTATGTGGTCTTCAAGACAAATGATAGAGCTGCTGTTAGCCATGTGAAACAAGTGTTTAGGGCGACTCCTGCTGAGGTTCTTGCAAATGCTTTCGGACTTCGAAAGAGTGAGGTTGCTCAAATTAAGTATAATGGAAATCGTGGCCCATTGATTCAGCCTCAATCTCAACCACAATCTCTGTAAAATTATGCAATGCAATGTTGAGATGGCCATCTTATGTAACAATAATAATAAAATAAATTTTGGATGTGATGTAATCAAGAACTTGAGTTCTAAAAATATTAATAAAGTTATTGTCTTCTGACATTTCTCTTCCTGATCTTAATCTAAACTCGCATGCATATATATGTATAACTGCAATAACATTGTTTCAATATCACTTTTCATACAAGAATTTTTCAAGAGATCAATTAAATAATAATGATTCACAACAAGGTCTCGTGGCTTCAAAACAAAACCTCCACTGGTTCCATTGGTGGTCGAATTTCGTAGCAGTCATTACAGAAAAATTCTGTATTACATGATTGACTCAACTCTATTTAGTTTCTCCAAATGACCAAGATATTCCCAAGATTGGAAATGCTTGCTCAAAACCACATAGTCGTGTTTCTCTATTTAAAGACATCTAAATGTGTGCAAACATTGAACCAAACACAGACTACTCATATAAAAAGCAAAACATGAAGTACTGATTTATACAAGCCATCCTGACATTTTGGATATTTATCAATCCAAAGTGCATAACAAATAAGTGTTTGCTTAAAAGCACCTACGAAATAAAGTATCAAAACAATCAAGTGCTGCTCCAATAACAAATTTTGTGATCTCTTATATTTATTATAAATATTTCTGCAAGTAATTTGACTGCAATGCTAGGAACATGACTAGACCAGAACAAACCCTTCCATCACGGTAACAACTTTCCCGCGCAAAAACACTCTTTGTTTCTGCTCATCAAGATGAACATCAAGAACTCCCCCTCTAGCTGATGCCTGCACAAATATAATCTACAGATTAGTACAACAATAACAAAGAGAATCCAAATGAGGGAAAAGAAAGATTAGTAGTAGTAGTACCTGATAAGCCTTAAAATCACACTTTCCCAGCTTCTTGCTCCAATAGGGTACCAAGCCACAGTGTGCACTTCCACAAACAGGATCCTAAAAGCAAATATGAGTTATTAACAACATTATCTCAGACTTTGAGTTGTGTTAAAACACTCGAAATCTGAAGCTACTTTACTTAGATTTTCTGTATTCATCTCTTCATTCATTGCATAGTTAAGGAGACATTATCAATTCAACTAAAGGAACATTATAATCATAGTTCTTAGTCACTTGCCTCATTGATTCCAAATTTAGGACTAAAATATCGACTGTAGAAGTCAAATCCTGACTCTGGAGGAGCAATCCCAGTAACAATTACTCCCGTTCCAGGACATTTAACAATCACATCAAGTTGTGGCTGTACCTCTGTCACATTTTGTCCAGACGCGACAACAACCTAGGACAAGTAATAAGATTAATAATAGAAAAACGGAACATGTTAGTGTTGTTCTTTCCATTAGTACGAACTAATATTAATGGAAGACAGAAGGTTTAGGGTTTACAAAACTCGGTACATTGCCTCTAAGCCTCAATTTATTCTCCTCATCCAGTCCATTGTCTAAGACATCGTGCAGCAGTGCGGTTCCATGTTACGTAATATAGACCATTGCCTAAGACCTCGGGCAGCAATGTGTTTCTTTATTCTGCAGCACAGGTCATCGCCTAAGTCGACATGCAGCGATGTTCGAAAAAATAAAACTCGGTACATTGCCTCTAAACCTTAATGTACTCTCCTCAACTTAACACATTGCCTAAGACATCGTGCAGCAGTGCGGTTCCTTATTCCGTAATAAAGATCATTGCCTAAGACATCGTGCAGCAATGTGTTTCTTTATTCCGCAACACCGATCATCGCCTAAGACGACATGCAGCGATGCTCGAAAACCAAAATCTAGCTCGGCGCCTCAGACTCTAAGCAGCGATTCGCAAACATAACTCATTGCCTCGGTCTCCAAGCAGCCATGTGTTATCAGGTGTTGTTTTATTCATCCTCCAAACGGATGAATAAGCAAATCCCAACCAAGACATACAAGATTGCTCTCTCAAGCTCAAGACCATTTGCCTCGTCGTCAAATCCGGGTAAGCGATATATCATCAGCTTTTCCTATTTCCTCAAGACTCTTAAGGGTACGCTATATCAGTGTAACTTTATGTTTGTTGGACAAATTTTGGGGTATTCCAAGTATTCAATAAACTCCCAATCAGAATGCGCAAGACTTGTGTATTCTCACGCTATGCGATTGGAAGATAATTGAATAGGGGCAGCTGTCGTACACCAAATTTGCCGTACCCGTGTGATCGTATTTTCAAGATTCAAAATGGAAGAAAGAATGTTTTGGTTAAGGATGGTACAACAATATCTGATGGTCCATTTTTAGAATCCAAAGTCAACAGAGGGGTGTATTTTAATTCAAGGAATGAGGCTTTCTAAAGACCCTTATACTCGTAGGTCTATTTATGAAGCATGTTGGTCAATGACCCATGAAATTCGAATATGGAAAACTATTTCAGAAAAGAATTAAGTTTTAATTATGAAAACATACTTAAATGTTTTTGTTGTTAGTAAAGAAAAAGAGAGTGAAATAGATATAAGAAGCTCATAAAAATTCGTATGGCCCGTTAAAGATTTTCAAAACTAGCCCATTTGATATTTTTATAAATTATTATTAAAACATCGTTTTACTAATTTTTTTATACAAAGCTCAAGTGGAGGTAAGAGGAGGAGTGAAAATTCAAATTAAAGGTCCATTAATCAATTAGTCCATCTAACGTTTTTACTGTTGTATCATTTTGGAAAAAATTACTAATATTCAAACCTTTTTTCTGTTATTATAAATATCTTTCTTTATAAATTATTAGGAGATTTAATCATTATTAAAATTTTGTCACTATTATTTTACTAAAAAACTATATATAGATATTTCTTTATTAAGAACGGTATATTTTTTTATTACTATTAAACTTTTTTATTTATTCATCATAATAATGTTTTCATTAAAAAAATATTATATTATTAAGGATTGTTGTTTAAAAAAAATAGATGTGCTGGATCAAAACTCGCATGAGGTTTAGGCCCAATTTTGTTTATGTGTTTGTTGGGCTAAAATAATAAAATAACGCTGGCCCATAATCAAAGAACAGACATTGTTTTAATCAGTGAGAAATATGCGCACATTTTTTTACCAACTAACAAACACTTGAGAAATCAAAAGCAAACTAAATCAAATCTTTTACAAAATAAATCTCAGAAATAACAGTTTAAATTCAGAAAAGCTACAGAAAACTAAATCAAATCTAAAAATGATACAAAATCAGTATTACAACCAATCTAAAATATTACAAGAAAAAAAAATCAAATATTGCTAATTGAAGCAATTACAATAAATCAAAATCCCTAATTTATGTTCCTAGATCTAAGCTACAAATTGTAACAGCAATTCAAAACAAAACCATATAAATATAAAGCAGAGAATTAACAGAAAAGGACGAATATAGAGATAAGAAATTCTGAGTACAGAACCGCGAGGCTGAAGATTCGAAGAACCAAAATACAGAAGGAGGGGGATTCAATACAGAACGGGGGAGAAGACAGAACCAAGAATATCGAGGAGATCGAAGCGGGCGAACCCGAAAAACCCAGCGCCATGAAGAAAAAGGTTGGTGTGATTGGGGTTTCGACATCCAAAACCCTAATCGCTAGCCGCTCTCGCATCCGTCACTGTCTTCAATCTCTCACCGCCGCGAAGCCGTAACCTACAACTCAAGGAGAAGGACAGTGGGATCAGTACTGAATCGGCATCAAAACTCATAAATTCGGTAGCAGAAATCACAAAGGGGTAAAGCAACTTAGCTTGTTTTTATTTTTAATTGTTGATTGGGGGATTTGGAGTAAGGTTGTTTGTGGCGCCGCAGGTGGTGGTTTGAGTGTTAGGGGTAGAAAGAGGAAAGGGTTGAGGCGAGAGAGAGGAAAGTAATTGACTGTAACTAAAACAAAAAAAATGAAATGTTAACAAATGTATAATCAATAATAATCTCATGCGCACGCGTTCATATTGAGTATTATACTCCTTCGTTTTTGTCCTTCAGATGCGCATCATACGGCCGTAAGGCTAAGTCTCATAGTAAGTTTCGTGTACCCTAACTTACCCCACTCGCCTGTTTTGCTAAACCATCAAACAAAACACACACACCCTTTAGAAATATATTTGGGCTTAGCGCATACTACCTTTTTGCACCCCCTATTTTATTGCTTAATAGGAAACTGCACCCCTGGGTTAATTAACTTATTTTCTATTTTTATAATTCACATTTTTTTATAACTATTATATTCATATTTTATATTATTTTATTCTTTTCTTTATTTTATATAATAATAATTATTTTTATTTTATTATTATTAATGTTAATTATTATTATTTATCATATTATTATTTAAATATCATGTATAAACATTATTTGTATTATCATATTTAAAAATAATTATTTTATTTAAGAACTCATGAATATATTATTATCTTATATATTGCATTAAATATTTTTTGATCATGCATTAATCAAGAATTTTTGCAATTAACACGATTAAAAAATACTAACCAATCATCAAACTATGTTTTCGCAACAAACTAATCTAATCAATTGTTTTTGCAAAAGGGTTTCAAACGAATTTTGACTAATTGCACATTTAGCCAAAATCTCCACAATCACTACAACCGATCAAAATACGAGGTGATTCAAAATACATTTGCAACCCATAAAAAACACCAACTACGAATTGGGACTCTGATTCCTCATAAGAGGATACGTAGGTATACGATCAAAAATCGTAGCGAGTTCTCCTATAAAAAAACAAACTCTTTCCCTATTAAAAAATTAAAACCCTTCCTCCCTATTAAAACTTAAAACCCTATTTTACCCACACCTAAACCTAAAACCTAGTACCCTTGTGAACAAGGTAGATGAAAGGTGCCTAACACCTTCCTTTCGTCTAATAGAGTCCGAAACCTAGAATCTCTGCCTGCGAATTAGGGTTTCCTATTAGATTCCCTTCCCTAGGATAAAAACTAATAGTGGAGACTCTTGATTTAAAAACCAGTCGCAACACATTGCATTCGACCTACTCCGAGGGAAATAGGCGACTGATCCATTCAAGGTGTATATAGACCGCTTGGTCTTTGATGATATACACTTCCAAGCATACGTCGACCACCGTGTGACGATTCTATTTGACGACATTGTGTTATACTCTAAATGGTTGGATTGTGAGTCGTGCAAGACGGTTGCTCATCTGCCTGAGCGCGTAATGCGTCAGTTCAGCTACATGTAGTACATTCCCAGGGATCTTGTTGTGTCTGCTCTTCCCCTTGTGAAATGCATACATATGGATGACATGTTTGATGATTATGTTAATCATCGGGTACCAGATGAGGCACGGAGTACCATAGCACCATACGATTGGAGCTACGTGAACGGTTACATCTGATGGTTCTTCAAGGTGGCTCATCCATATTTGGTATAGGATGCTCCAGAAAACCCACCTAGGTCAGCTCATTAGGAGATCCTAGAGGAGGAGCAAGATATGGTCGATCATGCACATGATTTGTTGCCTAGGTGTCGTTGTATATTGGAGATTGGACAGATAGGTATTGATGGAGGACTGTTTTCTGACGGCTCTGAGGTTAGAGGTGTTTTAGATTCCATCATGGTGGAGGCTCGGGAGGCTCTATAGTATATGAGGTAGCGCAGGAATGCCTGGAGGGTGTGAGGCCGACTCATAGTCCATCATACACAGTAGTCTTCATACTTGTATACTTTGGATTGTATTTTGGTTATCGACTTTGGATAATATTTTGTTTATCGACTTTGAATTGTATTTGAATAATATTTTAGTTATCGAATTTGGATTCATTTTATAGTGTTGACTATTATACACACACACACTATGTGTGTGTATGTGTGTGTGTGTGTGCGTCTTTGTGTTCATGTCGTGAATATAGCCTTGATAATGGTCTTTCTATTTATTTTGTAGTTAAAACATGAGAAATATTGAAAATTATGGTCTGTTTCTTTATGCATAAATTTTGGAAATGCATCTCCCACACATTTCAGGGTATACATCTCAGAAATAAATTGAAGGGTGTTTCTTGAGTATATAGGGTGTAATAAGAAATGCCCCCATTTTATTTTTCTTTATTATTTTGTGTTTATTTAGATTAATAATTATAGTTCCCTAATAAAATAAGAATGGATATATTGACAAAAAGAAGATATGAATAAATATTTGTAAAATAAAAAAAATGAATAAATATGAAAATTGTCATAAAGAAGGAAAATAAAGATAGGATGGAATATTATTAAAAAATAAAATGGAATGAAGTGAGAATGATTGATAAAACTTGATTTAGTATACACTTTTAGAAGATTCAAAATCAATTCTAGAGATATAGAATTGATTCTGTGTGATTTTAATGTGTTTCGTTTTTAAAAGTAGAACTAATTCTTCCTCCAGAATGATTTCTAGTTGAAGTTTGAATTTGTAACTTCTACCTCCAGAATTGATTCTGGGTGATTTTTACACTGAAATTTATTGTTCAACTCACTTTTATATAAATGTATCAAAACATAAATCAATTCTGCTGAACTCAATTCTGTTAAAATCAATTCTACCAAACTCAATTTTGCTAGAATCAATTTTGTCCATCGCCAATCCAAACACATCATAAGTTAGGCCAAATTCTAATAGCTCGATACTTTTAGCTTCGGTAATTGATCTGACCATAACTGATTACTTCTTTGAGCTCCAAGATACATTGACAACTTATCCCAGATAAATTTTCAACTAGAAAGAATTTTCTTAAGAGATGAATTATTCTTGAGCTTTATGGTCTTTCTTGTTGATTTGTGATGTGCCTATTGGGCCTATCTCTCATTTGTTTATTACTTGCAGGTTGTCGGATAATTTATGATATATGATTTTTAGGTGATAGGTGAAGAAAATGGAAAAATATATAAACAGTGAAGTTGCCACTGAGATTTATTTATTCCAGGAGGAAATGGAAATATCGAATAAAACCCACAAGAGAAAAAAATGGTCATCACAACTAAGAGCGGGTTCGGGAGCCGGTTATGCAAGAGGAAGGTATTAGCACCCTTCACATCCATCGTACTTGATGGGAACTATTTAGTTAATTATGTGAATGAGTGTTAGTGTGAAAGTTTGCGTTCTTCTAATTGAGAAAGGAGAAAAGAAAGAAAGGAGAAATGTTTTTTGGATTTTTTATTATTGAGCTCGCCGAGACTTTGCAGCCTCGTGCCTATGCTTCCCCGTAGTTCAATAAGGAAATTACAAATTCATAGTTCGGGTAACAAATGTTTGTGGGTTGGTTTATTTTAGTGAGAGATACACAATCACATTCGAACGGAAACATTGTTGCCCGAAACATGGATAATCGAACGATTGCATCACTTCAAGAATGGATGAATGAATATGGATATGCACAAAATCTTGCCATCATTGCATTCGAGTGAAAAAGGATCAACATTCACACGTGTGAGCAATGTTGCATCATCATCACAGAATGGATGGAACATCGCTCCTTTGAAAAGGTTTTAAATTGAAAAGCCAAGTGGCAAAAAATTTGAATGAGTTGGAATTTTTTTTATGTGGGTGATGAATACCGAACAATAGGACTAACATCCTACGATTCAAATACTAGAAACTGGAGGAGCAACCAAATTTTTTTTATGAAAAGGTGAAGTGAAACAAGGTTCACGCTTATTAGGTTTTTTGTGCAAGTCTTTAAACAGTTGGTCTAACAACGAACGATCTAAATACTCAAAATTTATTATGAAAATATTTTAAAAATCAACTTGATGTTGGATCAAGGTTTGAGACTTTATTATGAGAGCGGTGATATAGAGCGTGAGGAGGTCGATTGAAATTGCAAAATCAAACTCTACTTATCAAATAGGTTAGGGGATTGGTACATGGACCAAGCATGCATGGGGTAGTTGATTGCGATTGCAAAATCAAACTCGACTTATCAAATTGTTTGTGATTCGGTATATGGACTGAGAATGTGGGGGTAAAGTTGATTTTATTAGCATGTGCAAAATTGGACAAGTAAATAAAAGCAAAGTAAACTATTAAGCTATTACACGTACAAAATGGGGGATACACTTGTTGAATCATGATAAATAAGTAAAGTAAAGCACACAAGCCCGTACAAGACGGCCCACTCAAGTAAAAGTGATAAAGCAATTAAATCGAAATTAAACTACAAGTGTACTAGTAAAGTGGTCTAGTCTTCTAGACGGTTAATTGGAACAATTAATAGACTAGGTCTCACTGTAAGAAATCCAAGAAGTAAACTAACTAGGTCTCACTGTAAGAAAGCCCAAAAGTAAGCTAGAATGTGTGCAAGTGCGAGTATGATGATGGTGAATAATTAAAAGGGTTAAATGCCTTTTATCTCCTGCAATAGTAGTGAGATTTGATTTACCCCCCTTTTAAGAAAAATTCTTTTTGCCCCTCAACAAATATAGATTCCATAACCAAAAACCTTTAAGCCCAATATTCCATGTAAAATGCAGACGTGGCCCGGATCTGTTTGTTGATTGTGTCATGTATGCCACTGTGGACTGGTTATATCTAGGGTTTTAGAAAAATGAAATTTCTCAATCTCTTTTGTCCATTTCCACTGGAAATCGTTTCCTCAATCTTGTGGACTGGTTATGCCACTGTCATCTACCCTTTCCACTGAAAATCGTTTCCTCAATCTCTTTTCTCCCTGTTTTTCTCATTTCCGCCATCTACCATCTACCATTTCTTCTCTCACTATCATTTCCGCCATCTACCATTTCTTTTATCCCTACCATCTTGCTCATTTCTTATGTCGCTTCTTCCCCCAATTTGTTCCTCGAAATTGATCATTATAACCCTAATATGTTTAAATGAATGCTAGCAAGAGTGTTGGAAGTTTTAATTCATACGAGCATTTGAAGGTTCCTAGATGCGTATGTTGTCGTCCGATGAAGATGTGGGTTGCTAACACCGTAAAAAATCGTAGTAGGAAATTCTTGAAAAATCCAATAAAGATATGAGTTTTGTGAAATACCTAAACCTTTTATGGGGGTTAATGTTGTTTTTGTTTGCAGATGGACAATAGTTGTGATCTGTTTATTTAGGATGATGAAATTGCTCACTCCATTAGTGAAATCTCAAACTCTGAAAGTTATTGCAAACATTGTGATGTGGCAATGGTGAAGTTTGATCTGACAGAAAGAAAACTGGAAAAATACAAGTTAAAGATAGATGCATTAAAGAGGAAACTATTCCAACTGAATATGGTAATTTTGATGTCTTGGTTTATCTTTGCAGTGTTGTACAACTGTTTGTAATTTGAACTGTAATGTGTATTTGTAATATCTTTGCAGTGTTGGTTTAAGTTACATCAATGCAATATGATGTTTGTTTAATGTCAACTTGGATTCAATAAAAGTGTTTCATTTTTCTTACAGTATTGTATCACCAGTTGAAATCATTAAATAACCTTATAAGTTGAAACCAATAATAAAGAAGTAGTTACATTAAGGCATAAGTAGAACAAAATGTCAAAGTCATTACAATAGGGCATAACAGCATAAGAAAATGCATAAGTCTTAACTTAAGGACACAATCCATAACAAAACATAGGAGTCGTAATTAAAGGATCTAATAGACAAAATAAGTAATACATACATAAGACTACTTCTTAGATTTCTTCTTTGCATGTTTAGAACCACTTCCTTCTTGTGTCAAAAATCCTTCATCTTCTTCTGTCAAATACATAGGCTGCTTGGAGTTTGAACTTGGTCGTGTGATTGGTTTTTGAAACCACTTGAGTTTTATTCTTTCATTGGACCTCTTTCTCACTAGATTGACATCTTTCACTTTTGTCTTTCCCTTTTTGTCTGGTTTACTAACCACAACAGAACACTATTGTGATACGGTGGCCAGAACCAGACTGTTTTTGAAATGCTGGTTTGTGTTTTGCGTTTGTTTTTGCAAAATGTCGCGGTAAGCAAGAGTCGCCACCAACTTTTATTTTATCCAACAAGGAAAGGAAAAAAGCACATAAAAATTCTTTTTTTGAGATATTTCTGAGTACGGGGGGTAGATTATAGAAAGGGAAGGTATTAGCACCCTTTCTATCCATGGTTTTCCATGGGCTCTTAGGTACTTGCTCATCATTTTCAAAATTGTTTTCTTTGTGTTTGTGTGCTTTGAAAAGTTTTTGTTTTGACTTTGATTTAACTCTTGCTTCTGTCTTCAAGAGTGTAATGAAGTGTTTTTGAAAACTTTGTTTTGTAAAGAAGTGTAAGTGTGGAAAAAAGTTGTTTTGATTGAGCAAGTACTTAAGAACAACTAATCTACCTACTCGAAAAAGGAATCGTTCTATGTTTGTTTCCTTTAGACAATGCTATCCCACTATTAGTGAGTAGGTAGCCCCGTCGTTGGAGTTTGAGGGTCAATTCGAAAAGGGACGTACGGTCACTAAAGCAATGTTAGGACGTCTTAGTAGTAACCCTAAAGTCTTAGATCTATTATTCGAGGCAACAATATCTGAGGCAACCTTTCCGAGGCAACTATGATCTTTTTGACAAGAGGACGACTTCTAAAACAACCTATACTCAATGACCGTTTACCGAAGGTAACCAAGTGGGAGTGTACCCTAGGAGTGCGCATGTGCGAGTGATTCAATTTCAGATTATTTATCTTTGCACATGTTTAGGGTTATCTAACTGTTTTAAAATTAGTGATACATTCTTGTCATGCATCCCTATATCATACATCTAACAGTTAAATATTTGTGGAATTTAAAGTACGGAAATTAAACTACGCTATTACAAGGCTTCGGGTATTTACATAGCAAAAAACAAACCCTTTGAAACTAAAAGCGGTAAATGTAAATAAACGTCTTAATTTAAACTATTACAAACTGTGAGCGGATACAATAATTAGGATAAAAAATAAAATAAAGCGCGCGATGACAAATTAGATCGAATGCGAACTAGGGTTTTGACCTTTCTATCCTAACGAAAATAGAAAATATTTTTGTTGTTTTTAATCTTTTTTAAAGAAAAGAAATAGATTTCCTAAATTAAATGACATAATTAATTAGCGATTAAATTAATTAATGAAAATAATTGAAACGACCTATTTTTGGTTTTTGGTTATTTTTAAGAAAGGAAAGAAAAATTAAATTTGGAATAAAACCTATTTGTTCTAATTAATTTTAATTATATACAAAAAGAAATTAAAGCTATCTAAATTAGTCAAACCTAATTTAATTAATTAATTTTTTTAATAAAAATAAATACCTTAAATTTAATTGGATAGAAAAATATTTTTGTGATTTTTTTGATAAAAAGAAAATAATTATTTGGTTAGTAAAATAAATATATAAATTAATTAAATGAAATATAAAAAGAAAAAGAATAAGAAATGGGCCTGAAAAATGGGGGTGTGAAAAGCAGAATCTGGGCCCATTTGAGTGAGATTCGTTTGACTTTTTTGGATCCAGTGTGGCACGCTGACTGTGGCTTATGGGGGTCCTCCATCGCTGGCCATCAGATCTGGACCTCAAGACAATTGACACGATGGATTATGAGGACGTATGGTGGTCATTTGCTTCATGTACGCACATGATCCTGAAACAGAAAATAATATGGAGAAATTAGTGGACCTGGGATTCGAACCCAGGTCCTGAAGCATTATCATACACTCCATTGCCGCTA